ATTTCTCGACCTGTTTTGTGCCCCCTTTTTTTTTTTGCACTGACGAAAACAGAATTGGACACGTAAGATCATGGCTTTTATGCAACTTTTTTTTTGTTTTGTTTTTATTGCTATTCAGTTGTTAATGAGACTTGTCGTTACTTGTACTGTTAAGTAGACAAAACTGCTTCACCTCTTGTGGAAACACAGTAGATGTGTATTTGGCAGCTTTTTAGACTCAATTTTGAAAGTGTTTTTTTTTTCCCTTCTGTGTTATGCTGTGATGTGAGACCTCTGGGTTGATTCCTAAAAGGAATGGAGCTGGTTGGTGTGACGGTCAGGGAGGTTTTTTGAGTTTCATTCAGGAATTATTTAAAAGGAATCATCAACGTATAGAAGTATGTTAATCCCTATTATTTATTTTATTCGTGCTCTTCCGTCTTTAGCGCTGTTTTAGCTGCTGTCATGCTCAGAAATTGTGGTGCACAGTTGACTTATGCAGCCGACCACATGGACCACTGGTGCTGGTGATGAACACCGTGACTTTCGCTCAACCGGGTGTGATGCAATATTGGTAGAAATGTATTGAAAAAAATACTGGTAAAGAGGGATGATGGAGACGTCTTCGCACCTCCGTGATTGGGTTAAATTGATGTAGTTGTCCTTGACCTTTAGCATCCGTCCTACCTCCTGATTTTTTTCTGTGGCATGTTGTGAAGTTTTACATCTAAAATTACAGAGTAGTAGAGTAGTAGTTTGTCAAAAGTTGTGAGAGGTTCTGACAGTGAAAGTGAGCGGACCATCCCATTGTCCATGGTGGGAGCACATCTGTTGGCCACATGTGACGGTGGTGCCTGATGGTCCGGGATGAAACTGAGCTAGTGCAGGAGCAGCAGGACTCCTCTGAACTACAAATACTTCTTCACGCACAGCGAGATCTGACGGAAGGACGCGTGTTTATTGATGAAACTGACACTGTGTGAAGTTGTCCAAAATCTCTTAATATCTGTGTGAGCACCTTGGATGGTCAGGCCTGGGGTGTCATGTGGCTATGAATGATGGGCGATCATATTTTTTATAGAGGAACAGAGCGGCTGTGGCCAAAGTACGACTGGGAATAATCACCGAGTGTGTTTAAAAAAAAAAAATAAAAGAAACGGTGGAAATAAGTTAAGAAATAGGTTATCAAGTAAAATTGGCAAGACTAGTCCGTGCTACGACAACATTTAACCGAGATCCAGAGGTTGGTTTCTTGCTTTTATTGGTTCAACAAAGTTTTGTAATAAAAGCAGGGCTGGAGCTAATTCTAAACTAAGTCATTGGTAGATGGCAGAGGTTCACCTTTTGACAGTTCCCAGTCCTTCCACATCACACACTGTATGTTAAGACACTCACATGGTCCCGGTCCAGTGTTTAGTGTTCAATGCCTCAGAGATTTGCCCGTCACTCATGTTTTGGTCATGGCGGATCGTCTTACAACACGGTGGATAATTTAGTGTTCGGAGCCAGGCTGTTGGCAGGTCCAAACTGATCACATGATCACTGTCCATGAAATGTCCTACAGATGTTTGATGATGTTGGCTTTCTTGGGAAATTGTCCCTTATTTTTACTAATTTACTTCATTCAAAGAGAATCTGTCAATATTTAGTCTGGACTGAAATCCACTTCCTGTACATGTTTTCAGTTGTGGGAAAACAAACAAACAAACAGAAAAAAAGAATTCCTCTCTGCTCGGTTCATTCTCATGTCTCCGGTCTTTCGAACCCGGCCTCGTAATTTAGTCATTTGTTGTAGTTTTTGACAGCTACGCTGTTAGGTGCCTTAAATTGAGTACAGACGTGAATGTGAACCACGGACGTCTCGGTCTGGGTCCGTTTTCCACCTCATCGTGTGTTTTTAATAAACTCTGCACATCTGGGCACTGAACGCTGTTTCTCAGGTTTTGTTGAGACTCGGGATAAGAAGCTGTGTGTTTTTACTGGAGTCACAGTTGTTAAAGTGAACCCCGCACTACGGCACTGAGACACAGAGTGTTAGTGTTTGAATTATCCTCTGGTTTAAGACAACAGTTTGTCTCTGTAGGTGGATTTTTCTCTCTTCTCGTGGTTGGAGCTGTCAATTCTCCTGCAGTTACTAGGGTCACAGTGATAAGTGTTAGAAGTCGGGGAAGTTTCCTAATTCTTGAAATTCTTTTTTTTTAATTCTGTTATTTGTGAAGTGGTATGAAGTACTGACACGGACATTATGACAGGCCTGCAGGAGAACCCTAGTAGTTATACTTCTCTAGACCACATCCTGCTCCAACTGACAAAGGAGTCACAAGTCAAGGTGTGAAGAGTCGTTCTGGTCGCACCTCCCTAGAGACGGGCGACTGGTTCTGATGGTGATGAGCAGTTGAATGTGTCATGGTGTGACCTGTCTAGAGAAGACTGTGCTGTGGTATTGATGAGCAGTTAAACTTCCTAGAATGGGATCTCACGGCAGGACGGTATGGTGTGTAGCAGATAATCGATGACATTATTTTCCCCAGTTTTCCCATGTGTTCTCATCCATGATGTTACAGTCCCAGGCTCCTTTCTGTCCCCATGTTTTAGTCCCTCATAAAGACCTGACAACGTGTCAGTACTTAACAGTACCAATCCCTTTAAGTCCAAGGAATCTGTAGAATATTTCTGCCACTTTATGTCACCGTTAAGCAGCAGTTCCTCACTGGACACTGACCTTTTCTGAGCTGCTTTTTTTTTTTGCTTGTGTCATAGTCTTAAGTTCAAAACCCCCACCAGTTCACCACCCCACTCCCACCCCAGATTTCTTATCAGCTGTTGTAACCTCAGTGTATCAGGCTGTCCACAGACACACCGTACCAACCAGCGCCTCCTGTCTGCTGACCATAACTCATTAGCATCTCATTTGTTATGGTGAAGGTCTGTTTTCCTTCCGTCTCTCATCATCGTTGGCATTGTTTTCATTAAGGCTGAGCCTCAGGGTCTTATCTCTGGTTCCTGGTTCCTGGTTCCTGGGTCTCCGGGGAATCAGCGACAACCACACTACAAATGAACTGAACCATTGTTTCAAAACGCAATTTTTCTGCCAGGTGGCTAAACATTCGCAGTGATTTATAGTTTAAAAAAAAAAAGTGGCTTCACCTGTCTGGAGTTTTCTTCAGACTGAGCTGCATGTCTACGGCTTTAAAATCAGCAACGCAAAAAAAATAAAATAAAGAGATACACAACTAGAGCTGGTGACATTTTATATATATTGATATAATTCTAAACAAAATATAACAGTTTTTTAAATGAAAACCCAATAACACAATGTTTGGGTTTTGCCAAATGACGTGTGACCTAAAAATAGTTTTGGGGAAAAACGGCTGTATGTGAAAGTGAAAGCCACTAGATGGCAGCATTGCAGCTCATTTTATTAATTTGTTTTAATAATCATGGGATTGTATGTAGAATGCTGGTGTCAGCAACTCATAAGGTGGTTTGAACAGATAAAGAAATAAATATTAACAGGCGCTCAATTGTATTGAATTTTTTTGGGGATGGCCACCACTGCAGTATTTGTTTATATCGGAATCAGAAATTAAGTGTCTGGACAATATTGGCAAAAAATATCAGATGCGGCAAAAAGTGTATATAAGTGTTTTTATCGTCCTGTGTCGGAGGAAGTTCTCCAGAACCTCCGGTGTTATTATGTGACACTGGGATAATTCATGGCGCTGCACAGCAGTGTGTCTGTGAGCGGGGTATCTTTTCACCCCTCTGTGTAACTGATGCACAGATATTCAGCCCAGAATTGGGGGCAAATTTTACGTGGGTAAGAATCCCAAGATTAAACCTTTCTTAACCCATCTGTCATGGGATGTGTTAACGTCTAGGTGGGATCAGACTGGGCTGGATGTACAGCAGGAACACAGCATGGGTCCTTCAGCGGGGCGACTGATGCGCAGCTAAGGTCTGGATCCTGCTGGGAACTCTGGGTTTGTTGTGAGAGGGAAGATCTACAGAAGCAGGATTGAGTTCTGGTAGAATTCCTTTGGTCTGCTGTGGGCAGGAAAAGCGTCCTGGTGTTTTTAATGGGACACTGATGTGGGTTGTGTTATCAAGGCGATCTGAAACTCTTTCCTAACGTGTAAAACATCACTTCAGGTTAAATATTACATCAGCTTGATGCTCGTCTCTGGAGAGTGATAAAGAGGCTGCGTGGTTTCCACCTTTGTGGATTTTGACATTAGTTCTGGTCAAGTGTGGAGCCGAGATGATTTCAGTGACAGCGTCTGGACTCTGTCCTGTCGGCCATGTTGATGGATCACCGACGTTGCAGGTAATCTGTTTAAAGAAAGGACTGAGGGCGAAGAGTCTGACGGAGTACCTGACCCCGTAGGAGTACACGTGATGTAGTGAAGCTGTATATATGTAGCACAGCTACATATATCAGGTTTAAGATGACCCTTGACCCAGCGCATGGCTATTGGTATGAAAGGAATTATTTTGCCACATCCTGGAGGGGCGGGGGGTCAATTAAAGCAACTGGTTGGACACAGATTTTTCACGTGTTTTTATTCCTAATCAATACTGACCTCAGTAGTATGTGAGGAAGTGTTGTTTTCTGTGCTACATATAGAAACTGTAAACCTTCATTCATTCTCTGAATAATATTTATACGTATTATAAGTCCATTACCAGTCATTTGATTGGTGTTTCCATGACCTCACAGTGACCTTGTCATTAAAAGTAAACAAACTTGATGTTCGTTTGTTTTCACGCAGGTTTCTCTCACCGCTGAGTCCTTTCTAACCACACGTTGTTTTCCTGTTCATTTCCAGATCCTCAGCAGCAGAAAGTCCACGACCGTATGAGCCGCCGCCGTCAAAACATGAGCGACGATGCGCTGAGGACACGGAGCCTGGAGAGCCGCCGCCGTCAAAACATGAGCGACGATGCGCTGAAGACCCGGAGCCTGGACGTACGCGTGCGCTGCACCCAACACTCGCACTGAGGAGGTTCAAGACACGGCCCTGAGAGCAGTGTGTGCCCGCAGCTGTGTGTGCATGTGTGCATGTGAGGGTGTGTGCATGTGTGTGGCAGACCCTGTGTGTACATTTTTGTGCAACACATTCTGCTAAGTTCAGAGCACTGTGGAGCTGAGAGGACGTCAAGCCCAGGACTATGGTCCAACTGTCCACGTCAGTCTGCCTGCTGGGAGCCCTTCTGGGTAAGACGCATCTGTGTGTGTATGTGTGTGTATTTTAAATCCACATCCATGGATTACAATGGGGGTGTCAAACATATGGCCAGCGGGCAAAAACGGCACACTTGGGGTTTTAATCTGGGCCGTAGAAAACCAGACTTCAAGATCAGACCGGTGATTATTGTCAGGTGTAGTTCCAATGCTGGCCAGCAGAGGCTGACTCCGCTTGAGCATAAAAAAAAAACTTTAATTGTAATGTTGTGCCAATAGTTTTATGGATAAGACCCCGCCACCGCACAAAAACATTCAAAAGGCCATTCTAGGTTTTATTTTCTGAACTTTTCTTCTTCAGAGAAAACAACACCGAGGCGGAGGATGGATCTTTATTTACTTTTGTTTGTATCGTCATGTGGCCCAGAGATGGACTGGAGAGCTGTCCTGGGTCTTACCCCTGTTTTCCAGAAACAGTACCAAGTATTAGGCCCAGTGGTGATATGTGTGGACTAATTAGTTTGCATGCTCCGAGCAGATCAACATACTGTAGAGCAGGGATGTCAAACTCATTTTGGTACAACCTAATTAGGTCAGATAAAGTAACCAGTACAATCATCACATTATTACCTATAAATAACAAAATGTTTTTTGTTTTTTTTGCCCTTTGTTTTCATGGGGAAAAAAAGTACATGAGATAAATCTTCATATTTAGTGAAATATCATTTTATAAAACATTTCCTGAACAGCGGGCCAGATTCAAACCCCAAGCGGGCCGGTTTTGGCCCGCTGACCTATGTTTGACACCCCTGCTGTAGCATCACTGCTGGATCTGTCAGGATCGACTTCTTCCCCTAAATTGTCTTTTTTCTTTTTTCTTTTTCATGCTCCATCTCCCCCCCGACTCCTCCCTCTCCCTCCCTCCTCACCCACACACACTTACTGCATGCGCCTTTGGTCGTTCTAGTCAGAGACTAATAATCCGTGTCCCTCAGGGATGGAGCTGGTGCCTCAACCGTCTGCTTAAAAGCAGCTCTTGTTTTGCTCTGAGAGGGAAATTAGTGAAGACACTTTAACAGTTAGATTCTTTAGGATAATCATGTTGTCATGTATCGTCAGGCAGAAACACGAAACAGGAGTTGCAGTTTTTTGGGGTGGGGGGTTTTCTACCAGGCAAATAAGTAGAGAGAGTGATTGAAGCCAAAACTGAAACTTTTTAATTTTATATTTTATATTTTTTTACTATTTTTAACTTTCATAACAACAGACATGTTGGATGGAACAAACAAGTTGTAATGTTTTTGGAGTTTTTCTTTTTCCCCCACTGTATTTTTCCCATTGGTCACACATGCAGCTAAGAGAGAGGGTTAGATGTGAGTGCCCCTCCACCCCCAGGTGTGTGTGTGATGATGGTTGTCAATGGCTCAACCGTAATCTTAGCGCCTCCAGCTGTAATTGTCTGAACTGCAGCAGCTGACAGGTTTTTTATCACCTTTCAGAGAAAAATGTTGAGGGTGAAAAAGTCAAGGATGAGACGCACGCGACCCGGAAAGGGTAGCGTGCGACACAGCGTACAGTACATTACATATGAATATCTGTTGAGAAAATTCAAACGGGATCGTTATCATGTAGACAAATGACGCTAATGTGTCATGCTAACTTCCATCTGCGGTCAGTGTTTAATCTCCAGGATCATACAGATTAGACAGAGAAGCTGTTAATCCCAAAAGCCAAGAAGTGGTTTGAATGACTGACAGAGTTAATCCTCAAACACATGTATCAACTGTACCAACAGAACAAACTACCAGTCCT